ATATGTATATGTATATGTATATGTATATGTATGTATGTATGTATGTATGTATGTATGTATGTATGTATGTATGTATGTGTGTTTATGTATGTATGCATGCATGCATGCATGCATGCATGCACGCAGGCATGCATGCATGGATGTATGTATGTATGTATGTATGTATGTATGTATGTATGTGTTTGCAAATATACAGACGCTAATCAATCCTGCGTCGCGCTGTGCTCCAAACCCAGTCAGGCGATGGCTGGTGAATCGCGTAATCTTTCTTTGGAGCTTCCTCGTTTGCACATAGGATTTGGAAGGTTCTGGTTGCCTCGGACGGAAGCCTATGTAAATGAGAAAACGTCTTCCTCAGGGCTACCTTGTCTACATGTTTGTAATTCGTTACAGTTCAGCATCACCACATTGACCCCTGAACGCCTTTCTAGACACTGCAAGCCGCTCTGACCCCCAAACCCTTGTCAGAGTTTTTGTAATTAAGGCTGTGGGGTGTATCATGGCGCAGCGATATGCAATGTAATTAGGGAGCATATGAGGACAGGGCAGAGGACATTGTTTGATCTTGGTTCAACCTTCACGACGTGAGTTCGGGGCCGCTTTAGGTCATATAGAACATTGAATCCTGTGCCGAACACCATATCCCAGACCGCCAAGCACGAATTCGGAGTTTTTGGGTTCCAGGTTTATGGACTTTGTGCGGCAGAAAGCCTTGCATACGGAATGTTCCCTCACCCGTATGCCCGAATCTCTACTGAGGATTCTACAATTACAAGACCTCTTTACAAGACCTTCTAGCAGCAACCCCATTCAAAGCTCAATACGAAAATCCCTGAATCAAGGAGCCCCTCAGCCCCTGAGAGGTTTATGAAACCCGGACCAAAACCCTTCAGAGGTTTCTATACCACCTCCATGTACATCGTTGGCCTGCTTAATGCTGAGTCGATCGGTGCTGGCACCCTCGGTCCTTGGACAGAACACCCGCTGTAGGGCTGTGGTTTGGGTTATTGCTTCGTGATAAGGATGTTGATCTTTTCTTGATGAGAACGAAGTGGATATTCGGTGCGGGCGTGATTGGGATGACAGTAGCGGTGATAGTCGTGCGGTTGCCTATTGTCATGTTGACGGTGTTGATGAAGCTGGTGGTGATGATGACAAGACTGATATTAATGATAACGAGATGTATGGGCATAATGCCGAATAGACATGCGACACCATCATCACCATCACCACCACCATCATCATCAACGTCATCACCTGTTACCATTACCACCATCACTGGAATCGCTGCGTTCGCAATTATGCTAAATTAATAATAAAGAGCGTGGCTTCCGCCACACCGAGGACTTTGTCTCACGAACCTTTTGCTGCTCGAAAGCCTGATTGAGGTGAATCTGGAGGCTGGCAAGGTCTAGGGCTTAGGGCTAAGGAAGCATAGCATCGATCCACACACTTCCGGAAGCTGAAGGGATTGGGCATTCAGGTTGTATTGTCCGCGACAAAGGTTGTGAAGACGCTGTCATGTGCTGCAGAGTTCCGAGGGGGTGTGCGTCTGCGGAGGGGTGTTTGTGATCTTTAAGGATTGTCGCGACTAGCTAAGGTCGGGGGCGACATATCATCCACAGCATGAATTAAGCACCTGTCCGCAGCCCGTGCAGGCAGCGACTGGGGCACAGTTTGAGTTCATTGCTCTTTCCCGGATCCATGAGCACCCGGCCAGACAATAAAGGATATATATATATATATAGTCACCCCCCCCCAGATCCGCCTCCGTCTTTCTTCGATATGTCAAACACATAGAAACTAGAAACCACAGTAAATACCGATGACTTTGCTGTTTTCAGAAACTCACAAATCCACC